TCTCATCTCTCTCTTCACTATCTCTCACTCTCACTCACTCTCTTATCTCTCTTTTCATCATCTCTCACTCTCACTCACTCTTTCCTCTCTCTCTCTCTCTCACTATCTTCTGTATTCTCTCACACTCACTTCTCCCTCTCATTCTCACTCACTCAAAATCTTGTCAAATGGTATATTCTCTCCAAATGTTAAATTTTTTTCAATAATATGTGTTTTTAGAGTTAGTTTTGAGTTTATGGCAATTTTTTGTTATTATTTTATGTTATTATTTTTATATTTGACAATATTTGTTTTTTTTTTTTTGTAGGGAATTGTCGAGACTTTGACGGCTAAAGTCGAAAAACATATCCTCCGCCACTACCATCACAATAGGCTTGTAGATTTTATTATTGTACTTTGTTAATTTATGTGTACATTTGAATATTATATATATTGGATAATTTGACCACTATTTTTCATATATAATTTTATTTTAAATATGTCAATTTAAATTAAAGTAATTAAAAAAATAAAATCATACAATTAAATTAAATTTTAAAAGTAAAAATTTGAAAAAATTAATATAATGAAATTGATATAAGAGAAATAATAAAACAAAATGTCAAAATCCTTGCGCAACAAAATATTTCGTCGCGCAAACTAACTAGTTTATTTTTAATTAAATTTTTTTAAAAATAAATAAATATTTCGTCGTGCAAAGTTTTGCGCGACATTAGGATTCGTCGCGCAAAGTAAATAATATTCGTCGCTCAAAGTAGATAATATTCGTCACGCAAAGTGGTACTATTCGGCGCGCAAGGTTGCTATCATTCGTCGCGCAAAGTGTCTTTGAGCGACGTTAGTGTTCGACGTGCAAAGTTATTATCGTTCGTCGCGCAAATATACTTTGCGCAACGAATAATAATTTTCGTCGCGCAAACTTGCGCGAGACGGGTTTTGCGCGACAGAACTTGCTCGACCAAAAGTTCGTCGCGCAAAGTTTGCGCGACGAAATTGTACTTTGCGCAACAAACATATTTCGTCGCGCAAAGTATTTTTTGTAGTTGTGTTTATTGTGAGTCAACATGGTCTTTTGAGATAAATACGAGGGATGGTTCTTTGAGAAAAGCCTATGGGTGTATGCATCAAGATGGGAAAGAGGAGTTGAAAAAATATTTCCATAATTATAAGGTAAGATAAGCTTAACTTCATATTTATGAAAGGCCAAACATCAAAATCTTTATTATATGTGTATCACAGCACACTTCCTTGATGACGAGTGGAGACTATATAAAAGAATTATTTCATTTATTAGGGTTGAAAAGAACCACACAGGTGTAGAAGTAGGAGATCTTATAGCATCTGAATAAGTTAAGTGGGGTATACGTGATAAAATTTTCTCAATAACTTTAGATAATGCATCTAGTAATGCCGTGGTACAAAACTATCTTAAAGCAATTTTACTGGAGCTCCCATTTAAGGGTAAATTATTGCATGGTTGTTGTGTTCATATTTTAAATTTAATTGTGCAAGGTGGTTTGAAAACAATTAATCAATCTATACCAAAAATTAGAAGTAAAAAAAGAAGAAGAAAGAGAAGGAGAAAAAAGGAAAAAAGAAGAAGAAATATATAAATTTACAAAAATGCTCCTGAGCTTCGAGGGTTAACAGGCATTTGCAAATTTACACGACACGACACATTAACTTAATGTGTGGTTAATGGGTCAACACGATAACTCGGACCCGAATACTGAAATTTTCGTACGAATTCGTGTCGTGTTAACAGGTCGTATACAATATTGTCAGGTCTACTGAGCAGATACTTTAGCTTGGGCCCTACCGGATGCTAAATTTTAGCTTACAGGATATTTCTTTCCCTTTTTTTTTTAGGGAGTTTCACTAAAACACCCAAAATGGGGGCTGAAATTATAAAAAAACCCAACACCCAAAACACTTTATAAACACACCCAAAACCCATCATTACACACACTCAAAACCCATTTATAAACACACCCAAAAAATATACAATTGTTGATTTTGGAGTTGATTTTGGGTGTGTTTCTATGTTTAAATAGTATGGGTTTTTTTATAAATACATGTCTAGGATTGGGTTTATTTATAATAATCTATGTTTGGGAATCCTGGAATTGGTGTTTTCGTTTTTTAGTGTTTATTAAATGAGGTGTTCTAATATCAATCAAGTTTGGGTAATTATATATTGTACACTGTGTACTTTTTAAGCAAAGGAAGAGGAATTTTCTGTTTTCTTTTCTTTTGTTGCAAAAAATAGGAATGAAAACAAAAATTAAAGACCTGCAGAGCGCTGGGAAAGAAAAGCGATAGATTCTCTTTCGGTTGGTGGACCAGGCGATCTGAAGAATCCAAGTCCACCTTTCGTCTTGTTGAATTATGTCACAGAGTGACGGTACGCGGTATAATTATTTCAGCAATACCGTTACTCTCTCCACTGAAGGTATGCTCACATGGCTTTGTTTCCTCTTTTTGGCCGAAAGGCCATCACAACATTTTCTCTTTTCTTTTTTTGTTACAAAAAAAAAAGTAATGGTTCTTTGGTTTGTTGCCAATTTTCAACACGGTACGCGGTATAATTATTTCACACGGCGAGGTATTTCAACAATGCTGGTCTTCACAGAGCTTCAGCTTGGTTTTGTAAACCCACTTGACTTCTCAGTTGGTCTGTCAACCAATTCCCATGTACCATTTTTTAAAATCATTTGGAGTTCATCTACCATAGCTTTTAGCCATGAACTATCTTGAGCTGCCTCTGCATATTTCTCTGGTTCAATGATACATAGATTGCACTGTGCAAGCACATCATCTGGTCTTCTCCATTTCAATGGTGAGTGATCATAAGCTTGAGTGTTCCTTTCTTCACTGCTTATATCACTTGAGATGTGTTGAGTTGATATTTGAGACAGAAAAGGACTCCTTTCTTGTTGAACTTGAATCTGAGGAGATATGGCAGCATCCTCATCTTCATTTTCCACACCAGACTTATGCTCATCTTGGATTCCATTTCTGAAGAGAGAGACAGTAGAGTTGATTAGATTGATGTGGCAAATGGAGATGATAAAAATATACACTGTGTACTTTTAAGTAAAGGAAGAGGAATTTTCTGTTTTCTTTTCTTTTGTTGCAAAAAATAGGAATGAAAACAAAATTGAAAGACCTGCAGAGCACTGGAAAAGAAAAGCGATAGAGTCTCTTTCGGTTGGTGGACCAGGCCATCTTCAGAATCCGAAGAATCCAAGTCCACCTTTCGTCTTGTTGAATTATTTCACACAGTGATGGTACGCGGTATAATAATTTCAGCAATACTGTCCTTAATTTACTCTCTCCACTGAAGGTTCACTGCAGGTAGGCTCACATGGCTTTGTTTCCTCTTTTTGTTACAAAAAGAAGTAATGGTTCTTTGGTTTGTTGCCAATTTTCAACACGGTACGCGGTATAATTATTTCACACGGCGAGGTATAATTATTTCAACAATGGTGTCCTTAATTTACACTCTCCACTGAAGGTTCACTGCAGGTAGCAGGAAACTACGACTAAGCAAGAGGCCGGCATGAGAAAGTTGATTAGTCCCCTTTATATAGAGTTCCCAACTCTCGACAGAGTTTTTGACATTTGCTTGGATTTTATCAGTCGAGAGCAAATGTGAGGTTAAGCAAGAGGCGCATCCAATTATCAAACAACATGGATTACAATATCACTACTGAACCAGCAGCCTCTTCCTCTTCCTCTTCTCCTTCCACCCGTCAATGGGAATATGATGTCTTTCTTAGTTTTATATATATATTTTTTTTTATAAATGTTGGCTCTCATACAAGTTGGCATGGAGAACCCTTTCAAAGTAAACCTTCTGCCCGTCGGTGGAGGTTTAGGGGAGAGTAACGGGACTGAAAAGGACAAGAGAAGAGGTTTAAAGTGTGGGATGTACCAGATGTAGCTTGGGCCCTACCGGATGCTAGATTTTTTTTTTTTTTTTTTTTTTT